AGTGTACAATCCCAACAGGATAATAAGGGCACACTTGGGCAAACCGAGGCCAACGGCCCAAACCTAAACACAAATGCAGACATAAACATCGACACAGACAAAACAAAACGAGAACAAACATACGAAACACTCGAAAAACAAAAAGACTACAGAATAAAAAACACAGGCTCCCTCAGCAAATACATCCAAAAACGACAACAGACAAAGCCGACTCAATCGAGGAGAGCTTCGAAACTTTGATACCACACCCACCATTGCATAAGGCCTAGCAAGGCGATGACCCAAGCCTCAAAACAATCCGAAAGACGATGACCCAAGCCTCAAAACAATCCGAAAAACTGACCCGCACACCAACCACCATTAACAAATTCATTTTGAGTGGGTGTTACAAATTTTGTCATTTTTATAATTAAAAGTTAACACATTAATCAACTAATAATTTGACTACTTAATTCGAACTCCAAATATTGTTTCTCTTTTTCTTTATTGAAAGATTTTCTGTCACATAAACAGACACGAGTTTTGTCAATTTTATTTCACTGAATTTAATCTCCTTTATAATCTCAAAGGGCAAATGTTCCTCCTCTCTACTTCTTAAATATAAAATCCAAAGCTTTTTTTCTTCTTTAAAAAAAAAAGCCTCCACGAGGCCGTATTTTGTCGATGTTCTAAAATCTGCTTATTTTTACTGAAAAAATGCTAGATTTTGCGTAATTTTAGGCAAAGGCCCAATAAGTTTAGAGCCCAATAATATATTTCAGAGCCACTTTCTCAGATAAAAGGTCCACATCAAGGTTTCTAAAATGGGCCATAATTAAACGGATTGGACCCAAAGAAGGGGGATAGCGTAAAGCATCAGCCCGCGCAAATACAATGAACCAAAACAAGTATTGGACATTGGAAACACATAAAAACCGAAGATATCAAATAAAATTTCACTTGAAAGTTTGGCCATTGGACACGCACACATATAAATTAAAGTCAATTCATATGCAAAACTTCTTTCATGTTATTCATTGTTTTCTTCTTCTTCTTCCAGATTTCATAACATAATCATTGTTTTCGATATAAATACTCCAATGCTTATATGGGATTCTGTAGAACAAATTATCTCCCACCAAATATTATGATACTTTTAAGATCCTACCAAATTCGGATGAAATTTTATCTTAATCATGAGGATGTTTTTTCTTTGTAAGGAGTCTTTGTGAACCGAAATTTTCTTATTCGCATCAAGTTGATCAATGCAACCCTCCTCAAGTAATCATAGTTGTCCAAGTATGATCAAGTCATCTAAGAGGTAATTGGAGATAAGTAAAACCGGTTTTGATTAGATTTTTTTAGATATAATGAGTTAATTTGAGTGGAAAATTGAGTGAGAATTTTATTTTTTATTTAGTTGATATTTATAATGTAATGATTATAGTTGATGGGACGTAAAATATGTAGTTACAATAATAATTAGGGGGAATGCTACCATCCCGTTACGGGATGGTTCCGTTGTGTTTTTAACCGTTAGATTAACTACCCATCACTAGATTACATGTATATCTATGGCTAGAAAACACAACGGAATCATCCCGTAACGGGATGGTAGCATTCTCCAATAATTAGTTAAAATATTTAAGTGGATAAATAGGGTAAGGCTACACTAATATACATGTGCATCTAACGGTTAAAAATCCTAACGGTATGATTCTGTAACGAGATTGTAGCATTTTTCATAATTAATTATAATTATACTGTAGAATTACTTTCGATTATTTATTTATTTATTTATTTTGATTTTGTCTCGTCAATAAGACACTTAGGTATAAAGGCATCTACATTGCACGTACGAATATCCATAGGACGTTCATATCTCATTGTTAGATCTCTTATAAGTTTAGCCAAAAAAACTCAAAAAACAACTTAGAAAACTCTGCTCAATATGATTACTTATACCTAATTTCCCATGTGAAAGATAAAATGATCACTAAAGGTTAAATGATCACCATCACCACATGGGTGTGATGATCGTAGTTCCCTACCTTTTGTTTTATTTTGTAATTTCTTCTTCTTCTTTTTGGCTTCCCATCACCAAAATTGCATGATTCCTAATCATGCACAATTATGTCCTATTAACTTTGATCACACTCTTAATTGCAACACCATAGCACACCCACCAAAAGCAAAACACCAAAAGTTACCAAAAGTTGATATGGAACAACACCCCAAACATTCTAAACTGTACATTCTGAAGAAAAAATAACAAAAAAGAAGCCAAATATATGGCTCGTTTCTTGACAAATCACATAATCATAATAATAACAAAAATAAATACCAAGTAGGAAATAAAAAAAGAAAAAAGAAAAAAAGAAATAACATTCATGGAATCATACAATGGTTGCCCTCGAAATCGGCACGCCGATCTTGATCCGGTCCATTTGAGTCGATTCATAAACCGGCAAGCCACTCGAGTAAAAATCGAGCTCATGGCTCGGCAAGTCGAACAAATCCGAACTCGAGTCGCTCTCCCCTCCGTCGTCCACATCGCCAAACTTCGCAGTTTCTCTCTCCTCCGTCGACTTCCAATCGAAAAAACCTAAATTCAGGGCTTCTCGATTTTTCTCCTGGATAACCCTGGATTTTTCCTGGAAAATCCAGGGCCCACGATCTTCCCCTTTCTTCTCCGCACGATTCTCCGGACCATTTTTCTCGGAAGATACCACCGAGACCGCCTTGTACGATTTTGTAGGCGTGTCCGCGTAAGGCGGAGGCGTACGAAAACCCGACTTTTTCGAATTCACAATGCCATTATTACGATAATAGCTATAACTATTGTTGTTATTAGTAGGATTATCACCAGCAGTGCTGCTAGCAGCGCTGCTGGTGATAACCCTAAAGTGACTGATGCTGCTCCTCCGCTTCCTGCGGGCCCCACTTAGCCCGTTATCGTCGTCGAAGTCTTTCCCGGGCTTCGGTTTCTTCTTCTTGAGCGTCGTCTGGTTGAATAGGGAGTTGAGGAAGCTCGCGAGGCGGCCGCCGGGCGAGCTCGGTTGCTTGTGGGCCTTATTCTTATTATTGCCTTCGGATTTTGGGTGCTTTGTTTGGCCGTTATTCGGGCCGTGGGGGAAGTCGAGAGGCCCGGCCCGCATGATCATGGGCATGTCGAGGCTCATCCGAGAAGGGGCCGTGTGTTCGTGGCCGATCGAGAAGTATCGGGCGGCCTCGAAAACGTCGAGCTCGCCGGAGCTGTTTCTCCGGTGGATTTTGTGGTGTGATGAGAGGCTTGTGGTGGACATGGATATTGATTTTTATTTTTTATATATATTCTATGAGGAATTTGAATTTTGAATGATTTTTTGTGGGAAGCAATCAGTTAATAGTATTGGGGAGGCTTTGAAAGTTTGCAGATTGAGTTTTTAGAATTCATGACATGAGAGGAAGTATTTGTAGTGTGTGTGTGTGTGTGGAAGGGACTGTTTTTGTGCTTATGTGGATGGAAATTGNCTTCTAAAATGATAGAGAAAGGGGGTTTCTATTTAATTTGAAATGCAGTTTAAATTGAGGATTCTAACTCATTACCTTATGGTTCATATTATTATTGTTGTTAAATGTAATTATATTCACACTTGCTCGACACAGTGATTGAAAAACAGAGATTTTAATTATGATTTCCCATATTTCTATTATGAAGGTTAGTTTGGAGTTCTTTTAGGCTTATTTGCAATTAAAAAAATGACTAATTTAATTCAATTTCAATTTAAGCAATTCTTTTAAATTTTATTTGGAGATTTAAGTCAAAGACTTTTCATTTACTACGGCACATACCAAGAAATGAAGAACCATATAGCTTCCAATATTTGCTAACTAAATGAAAATTAAATAAAATATGTAAAATCATCACATACCACAACTCATCACCGTAAGTTACACAAAACTAAACGTAAAGTACACATGGCCAGATTTTGATCATATTCATTAGTTAACTATAGCTCAGAAGCCATTTCTATTACATTTTCTATTTAACCAAATTACAATTAATTAACAAAATTATACTTAAATTATAATTGAATTGTGATTTATTTTACATTTTTTGCCATTTCTATTACATTGTCGCATGGGGCTGTGAGGTACATTGAAGCAAGCCATAAAACCTTTTTGTCATTTTACTCATTCAATCTTTTTACTATATTTGGTGCATTTTTATCCCTTTTTAATAGTGTTATTGTATATTTGGTAGATTGAAATCCAAAGAGTGTTGTGTTTAATTTGTGGGAGGCAAAAAAAAGCAAGCTTTTTTTTCTTGGATGCTCAATTATCCAACCAATACATATCCTTTTGGTGGGGAACAACTTTCTTTTCAAATTAATGGGACTGTGCTTCGTATGTTTGTACCTTGCATTATCAGTTTTACACTTTGTGGAACAAAAAGAACGATGATTGATTTAATTAACATGGCACTTACTTTAATTAATTTCAGGAAGGTGGGAGACAAATTGTTATTGATCTTTATTAATTGGACTTTATGGGCAACTAATTTTGTGATTATTTTAGTTGATTTTAAAATTCATAATCAGACAGAGAATTGTCACGTAAGTTAATAATTAGTCTAACAATAGTATTGACAAGATATATTATGGTTATTATGTGACATAAAATAGGTGGTGCCACTTAATTATTAGCTTGTAACGCGATCACATATCCCAACATTATTGAGAATATTTTGCTGATATATATCTTAACTGGCCCACCTAATTTGTATATATCAAAAGTTAATTGGAGCTGTGTTAATTGAAAAACCGAAGAAAAAGTTGATCTTAGCCAGTGAAAGTTACCTTTTTCTCGTCCTAATAATTAATTATAAACACTGTTATAGATTCTAAACATATGTTGTCACAACTCACAAGTCTATACAATATTTAAAATATCACGTAAAATGACCTTTTTCTGGCAACATATTGTTGCAACTTTTTTTTGTATATAGTTAGTAAGTAATTTTAGTATTTTTTTTTGGCATTGTTAGGCAAATTGTGCTTGATTTTTATTACTTAGTGGGCACTTTATGCTTTAAACAAAAGTTACTAAGCAAAATTGTTATTTACCTTTAAGATATATTTTGCAATTTTTTAGTCTCGCATAATTCTCTATTTATAATTTATGTTAAGGGTTTCCAAACCTGGCTCGATAATTGACTAGGGCTAGTCTCTGATTGGGTGACCGGTTTAATCATCGGGTTACTGAATCAATTTTTTAATCGGGATCAAATGAGAACAGCTCTTAAAATGCGGACAGCTTTTAGCAACTACAGAGAACTAACTTAGCAACGACAGAGAACTAACCTAGCAACGACAGAGAACTAACCTAGCAACTACATAGAACTAACCTAGCAACTACAGACAACTAACCTAGCAACTACAAAGAACTAACCTAGCAGGTACATAGAACTAACCTAACAACTATTAACCTAGTAACTAAAAACAACTAACCTAGTAACTACAGAGAACTAACCTAGTAACTATAGAGAACTAACATAGCAACTACAGACTACTAACCTAGCAACTAAAGAGAACTAACCTAGCAACTACAAAAACTAACCTAGCAACTACAGACAACTAACCTAGCAACTACAAAGAACTAACCGCAACTATAGAGAACTAACCTAGTTGGAAGGTTAGTTGTCAACGCCGGGAGTCAACGGTCAACGCCGGAAGTCAACAGATTTCGCCGGAAGTCAACGGGTCAAAATAATATTTAAATAATTAAAATAATAAAAAGAAAAGAGTAAATCTTGGCTACACATGATGTAAAATCTTGTGGCTAAAAATGAGTCTCACATCCTCACTTTAAAGAAATTGCCGCATTTGAACTAATCCCTATATATATATAGGGAGTGGTTCAAATAAAAACTTTTCTAGTGTGAGAACCGTGAGAACCATATATGATGCTATTTTTAATTGTGTATGATGCTATTTTTAATCTTACATGGTGCTATCATTTTTACAAATGCATCCTGATTAAAATACATCCTGATTAAAAATAGCACTAAATACAATCAATCATAACACTACGTACAATTAAAAATAGCGGTGCGGTTCTCACGCTATATATATATATATATATATATATATAGGACGTAGTTCAAATGAGAACCAAGTCCTAGCGTGAGAACCGTGAGAACTGCTATTTTTAATTGTATGTAGTGCTATGATTGATTGTATTTTGTGCTATTTTTAATCAGGATGTATTTTATTAAAAATAGCAACTTAGCATTTGTAAAAAAGATAGCACCAAGTAATATTCAAAATAGCATCATACACAATTAAAAATAACATCAAATATGGTTCTCACGGTTCTCACACCAGAAAAAGTTTTTATTTAAACCACTCCCTATATATATATATATATACTAGTGTGTATCCCGTGCGCTGCACGGAGGGTTTTTTTACTTAAAACCTTTTCTAAGACTTTATATTAAACATAGTTATTTATGTTTAACATCTTATTATTATAAAAAAAGAAATACCAAATATGAAAAATTATATATTATTTATTTGAATATAATGAGTGTCCCCAACCAAACTAATAACATCCAACATATGATATATGATAAAATTAATTATATGATCGTCATACTTTTTGAAAAAATATACATATATTTCTAATAAACATGTAAGATCCGCATTTAAATTTGTATTTGGATATGAGATGAAAAATGAATATGTACAAATAAAAAAGTACCAAGAACCTACATAAAATGAGATTCTTTATAAACTTTAAAATATTTTGTAGTTAAGCAAATATTAACAAACAAAATCATCAATTAAGTTGAACTTATCGAATATAAAATATAAT